TCACCTCTTGCCATAAGAATGAGAGAGACACAGCACAGAAAGAGACTCAGAGTGATGGCAGAACTCAGAGAATGGAAGTTTTGGAGATGGAGATAAAGAGCGAGAAGGTGATTGGGAAGGTGCAGAGAGAGGGACTCATGGGATAACCTGGTAGAACAGCATTTCTGGCAGAACAGCACCCCTGGCAAAGGCCCCAAGACAAGCAAGCCTCATGTGTTGGATGGAGGCCAGTGTGGCTGGTGACAAGTGGGCGAGGGAGAGAGCAGGAGGAGGTGACACCGGAGAGACAATGAAAGGCCAGATGGGTGCAGGGCCCCTGGACTATGGGATGGCCTTTGGCTTTGGCTCTGGGTAAGATGGGAGCCACGGGACAGTTTAGACCAGAAGAGTGACATGGTCGGTCTGGCTGAGGTGAGGGTGGACAGGGTTGGCAAGTGGATACAGAGAGATAGTGAGGAGCCTCCTGCAAAAACCCAGGGGAGAGACAATGGTGACTTGGTTACATCAGGGATAATGACAGGTGGTCATACTCAGGATATTTTTTGAAGGCAGAACCAACAGATTTCCTGATGATTAGATGCAAGATCTGATGGGTTAGGGCACCTGGGTGGCTCAGTTGGTTAGGCATCTGCCTTCAGCTCAGGTCATGATCCCAGAGTCCCGGGATCCAGTCCCCCATCACGCTTCCTGCTCAGCGGGGGGCTCTCTTTGTGCTCTCTTTCTCTCAAATAAATAAGTAAAATCTTTAAAAAAAAAAAACCGATCTGATGAGCCATGTGAAGAAATCTTGGACTTTTTGTCCTAAGAGAAAGAGGAAGTCACAGGATTGGTTTTAAGCAGGGAGGTGACATCATTGTATTTGTAATTTTGAAAGATCACTCTGGCTGCTAGATCAAGAACAGACTGGAGAGGAATGATGCAGCAGAGGATGGTGGTGACTTGGATTAAGATAGAGTAGGGTATGGGATGGACAGAACCAGCATAGTTCTCTCTGCCTCAGGGCCTTTGCACAGGCCACTCTTAGTTACCCAACAACCCTTCATGCCCAACAAACACTATTATCTTCAAGACTTCAGGAGGTCCCTCCCCTGTGATCCCACAACCCTGAAATTTCCTTGTTTTTGCAATTATCATTCTAGATTCCCTCTAACATCTGTAAGCTCCTCACAGCTGGGACCACGCCTCACTGGATTCCAGGAGCTCAAGGCCCAGCATGGGCTCTGGTGCAGAGAAGGCCTTAGAGAGCATTTGTTGAATGAATAAATGGAAAGAATGTGAATGAGGTGGGAGATTGACACCCTGATATTTGGAGCTCACCAAAGCACTGCAAATCCTTTATTATTATTGTTTTCTGATTATAAAAGTAATGTGTGCTCTTTATAAAAAAAAACACTACATATATAATGAAAGAGCTCTAAAACGTCATCCTCTATACTCTAGAAATAATCAAGACATCTCTAGAATCTAGAAATAACTATGTAGAGTCCAGTAAATACCCTCCCCCCAATTTTTTTAAGTTTATTTATTCAAATAGTCTCTACACCCAACTTGGGGCTTGAACTCACAACCCAGAGATTAAGAGTCACGTGCTCTTCCAACTGAGCCAGCCAGACAGCCCTCTTCCCCCACCAAGTTTTTTTAATGTATACACCAAAAAATGAAGTGTTTAAGATGTAACACATGCTAGGGGCGCCTGGGTGGCTCAGTCGGTTAAGCGTCTGTCTTTGGCTCTCTGCTCAATGGGGAGTCTGCTTCTCCCTCTCCCTCTGTGCTCTCTCTCTCAAATAAATAAATAAAATCTTAATAAAAAAAGATGTAACACACACTAGTAATTTGCTTTTCTTCTCCTTATATTATCATGACAATCTTTCTATGCCAGTACACGTAAATCTACCATATTTTGTTAAAGGCTGAATAGTATTTCATAAAATGGACTTATTCCACTGGTATAACCAACTTCCTATTATTGTTAGATACTCAATTTACTTTTTCCTTTTTTTAAAAAAGATTTTTATTTATTTATTTGAAAGACAGACACAGCGAGTGCAGGAACACAAGCAGGGGGAGTGGGAGAGGGAGAAGCAGGCTTCCCGCCAAGCAGGGAGCCCAAAGTGGGGCTCAATCCCAGGACCCGGGATCATGACCTGAGCCGAAGGCAGACGCTGAATGACTGAGCCACCTAGGCACCCCTAGTTTTTCCTTTTTTAATTAAAGTATTTCCTTGAATATCCTCGTTACATTTATTTCAAGGCACCAGATTTTAGGAGGATCGTTGAAATGGGCATTCTTCCTGGGGTGGTCAGAGGACTTGAGACTTTGTCTTACAGGGAACATTAGATATAATTGAGGATGTTCAGCCTGGAAGAGAGACCCATAAGCCTTGTCCACATTTCTGAAGGGGCTTCCAGAAGAGAAAAAGAACAGATTTGTCCTGGGCATTTCGGCCGGGCAGAACCAGGTCTAAAGCATGGAAGTCACAAAGAAGCAAACTCGCATGTAATACAAGAAAGCATTTTCCTACAAGCAGAGCTGCAGGAGACGCAGTGGATCTCCTTGGGAAGTCAAGAGCGTCCTGTCTCGGGAGGTATGGAAGGAGAACCTGGTTGAAAATTTAATAGGAAGTAATGTATAAGGGGCATTCGTGCAGTAGGCCAAAGTTTAATTAGGTGATATTTGAGAGCCCTTTCAAATCTGAAATTTTGTTACTATGCTTTTTTTAAAAAGGTATTTATTTACTTGAAAGAGAGAAAGAGAGGAGGGAGGGGCAGAGGGAGGGGGAGAGGGAGATTCCCAAGCAGACTCCCTGCTGAGTGTGGAGCCTGACACAGGGCTTGATCGCACCACTCCAGGATCATGATCCCAAGATCATGACTCCAAAATCATGACCTGAGCTGAAACCAAGAGTCGGACACTTAAGTGACTGAACCATCCAGGTGCCCTGTTACGACACTTCCAATCGAAGGTATCATAAAGGATGGCACAAAGAAGTTGGCACAATGCCTCAGGGCTGGGAAGGTTTTGACAAATGGCAACGGGGATGCACGTTCCAGGCAAAGGGGATAGGCTGGTGAGAGATTGAGGGCGGAAAGTAGGGCACGAAGCTAAAGAAAATTATGGAGTAAGATTGAGCATTAGCCCAGGTAACTAAGAACTTCAGAGGTTGAGGGTGAGGTGGCCAGATGCTGGTTTTTGTGTAGGACCCTGTTTCCTTGGCAGTAGCTGATTACTGTAGGGTGAACATTTCACCCCAGCTTGGCCAGATTCTCTTTCCTAAGAGTGTGGAAATTCAGAGTGTATGGAAAGTTGGGCTGATGTTGGCATTGAAGGGCAACCTTCTTCAACCTTTGTTGAAGAGGTGGAGAAGGGTGCCCTCTTCCAGCCACCTAGAAGACCTGATCGTATTTGGGTTCTTCTAAGGGCTTTGTGATAGCCCTTGGACAAAGATATTCGTTTGCTTTCTGTCAGCTCAAATGGGTTCCTGTGACTTGCCACGACATGACATTTGGCCAAGACCCTCTAAATTAAGAGGGAGTCATCCAAGGCTTTGAAGGAAGTCATCCACACCTCCTGATGGAGCTTCAGGAACATTCAGCTGGAGGAGCAGTGGCAGAAAGGATTGAGAAGAGTCTGATAGATGGTGAGAGCGGGGAGGAAGCCTTCCTTATCACTTAGATAATCAACAGGGCTGCTGCTTCCCCCAAACGCTTCACCTCATTATACAGTGCAAACACGTAATGCAATGACAAGTCTTCCAGGTTCTGTTTGACTTGTTTTCTAAATGGACTCAGGCTACCTCTTCAGAAGACAGGAGAGGTTTTCTTTTCCCCAGGGAAGGAGAGTTATGGCAGGGAGTTCACTTTCCTTGATGCAACAAAAAAGATAGGCTGGAGTTACCAATATCCCCATTGTAAGCCAAATGTGGGTTTTGGTCCTTTTGGAAGTTCCAGAACAACTGGGCGTGTATGGAGAACTAATGGGGTGACCCAATAGAAGACCTAGTCAAGAGGGAGCATCAGAGTGCCCTAAGGGGGTAGGCTCAGACTAGAATGAGCTTGACCCCAGAGTGAAATTTAGTTGTCAGAGGGGAGTAGTGGTCCTTCCTGTACATGTATCTATTCTGCAGGTCGGTCTGGCTCAGCTCCCTGAACATAAATCAGTGAGAAAGAGAGAGAGAGATTGGGGGAGAGAGAGAGACAGATTGAGACAGAGAGAGAGAAAGTCATAAGTAAAACTTGAAAGGGCTTCTTTACTAGCCTGTACACACTGGAGCCCAAGCAGTTGGAGCTTAGGGTAACTCAAAGCAGAGAGGCTCTTCCTGACTCCACCACAGCTTTGGTGTTTTACGGGCTTGGGGCGAATAGCCAAGAATTGTTGTATCTGTGGTTTTGGTTATAGAATTACAGCCAAGATGTGAAGCCTGGAGCAGCTCCCATACAAGGTAGTGGAGTACAAATGAGATACCTCTGAAGACTTTCTGAAATAGCAGAGACTTTGCAGGAAGCGGGAGATCTTGTACTAGCAGGTGGGGGTAATAAGGCAACAACATGGGAGTATTAACATTCATATGATCCTGTTTGAACTCACAGACTGGTGAGTCCTGCAGAAGCCTGAGCTGTGTAGGGAGGAGGGAACCAAGGCCCAGAGAGAGGTGAAGGGAGGTATTGGCACAACATAGCAAGTCAATACTGCTTGAAACTGGATCCCAGGCTTCTGGCCCCGAATGATAGCCTCTTTTGGACACAATCAACCATATGCCAAGAGGCTGGACGTGGAGCCTCCGGAGTGAGGTCACTCAGTGACAACAGGACCCCGTGGACTGCATGTGAATACTCAAGAGTGCCATCCGTAGAAAATCCCTACCTGTGGTGCATTCAGCTCAGCCCTCCCTCAGAAAATCCCAGGTAGAGCTTCTAGGACTTTAGAATGCCCTGGTGCACCTAGCCATGAGATCATAAGGGCCTTGGAATAGGGTGGTGGCCTCTGTGCCGCACCCACTGTGGGCCCCTCTGGGCCTCAATGACCTCCCCTCCCCTGGAGGCCCAGCCTCCTTCCCCAGGGAGTTTCTCCCTCTAACCTCCTGGCAGGTGGAAAGAAGGGGAAAGACCACTGTGGTGAGCCAGATATTTCTGTTAGAACCATCCTGACCAAAGTGGCCTATGTTACTCTACCTAGGAGGAAGTGGTGGGTGGGGAGCCTGGGCGAGGAGATAGCAGCTGATGGCAACCAGCAGCATTTGCACCAGCAAATCTTCAGTGTGAATCTGAAAAGAGAACTTTGCCCTGGTTTGTCCTGGGTTTGTAGGCAGTCAGGCCTGGTGGATTGGGGGTGGGGGGCAGGGGAGGCCCCAGCTTGCTTTTCCTGCTGCCATCTACATCAGCCAGGGGCCCATTGGTCCCCAAACATGCCCAGAGGCTCCCTGCTGCCACACCTTTGCTTAGGCAACATTTTATTCATTTAAGCACCACAAGAGAAAGGGTTCAGCATGGCCATACTGTGGACTGGAACTAGGGAGGCCATCAGGAATGGAGGCAGCCCTCCGAGCTGTCACCACTCCTTTCATAGACCTCACGATTATCTCTTCTGACATCCATGTCTCTGTATGTCTGCACCATTCTCCCCTCCCTTGTGAATTGACCGGTCCCCTCTGCATCCTCCAGTTTCTGTTCTAAAGGGAGCCAACTGATTGCTAACCTGCCACCAGCTTATTACTTAATTTTATATATTAAATTAAATATATAATTTAATGTGGGCCTCCACTTTCAACTCCCCCAACCTCTCTTTCTTGCTCCTAAGCATCTAGACCCTGGAAAGCAAAAACCTCTTCATTATCCTCAGCAGCAAGAGGAGCATTCATTCATCAGTAAATATTTGCTGACTACATATTTACCTACTATGCTCCAGGCACTGCTTTAGGTACTGGGGATAGAGCAGTGAATAGCAACAACAAATAATCATGAGTTTAGGTTGTAATAGGGAAGAGGGACAATAAGCCAGGTGGATAAGTAAATTAGATAGTGTAAGCAGAAGTCTACAAGTGCTAAGGAGCAAAGTTCAAAGGAGATGATGCAGGAATGAGCCATGAGGCTTTCTTGGGAAAGAGAAGCAAGAGAACAGCAAGTGCAAAGGCCCTGAGGCAGGGGTGTGATGGAATGAGTGAAGAGCCAGGACAGCAGTGTAGTTGAAAAGGGGTGAGCAAGAGGGGGACTGGGTTTCAGAGAGATAGTGAGATGTCTGATAGGTTAAGGCTTTCTAGGCTTCAATGAGAACTCTGGCTTGCATTTTGAGTGAAATGGAGAACCACTGGAGGGCTTTGAGCAAGAAAGTAACATGATCTGATCCCTCTGGCTGCTGTGTGGAGAACAGACTATAGCAGGGGCAGGGTCGGAAGCAGGGGGACCAGTTAGGGGACTGCCACAAAGTCCAGGCACGAGGTGATGGTGGCTCGGACCAGGGAATGAGCAATGATGAAGATGAGAAATGGCTGGACACAAAGTCTTGTTTACTCTCTCCAGTGGAGCAAGAGAAAATTCTCTCTCATCGTTTTCAGATGAACCCCTAGAAAAGTAAGACATAATTGAAATCATTTTACCTTACAAAAGACACAGCAGACCTGAGCTATTCAGGCCACTGAGTGCATCTTAGATGCACAGATTCTGGGTACCCCAGAACTTCCCAGTCGAGGGTCTCATTTGTCACTCCCCTGTGAGATGATATGTTGGAGTCCATTTCCATGGAACAATGGAAAATTGGTAAGTGGAACAACCAAGCCATCCTGAAGAGACCTGGCATCTGTTGGGTTGAGTCTATTTGAGGCACCCTTCGCCCTCGGCATTGATCTTGGGTACGGCCAGCACCATCAGTTTCCTTTCCCTTTTTCCTTTTTTTTTAAGATTTTATTTTATTGTTTTTAAAAGATTTTATTTATTTATTTGACAGAGAAAGACACAGTGAGAGAGTGAACACAAGCAGGGGGAGTGGGAGAGGGAGAAGCAGACTCCCACCGAGCAGGGAGCCCGGCACGGGGCTCGATCCCAGGACCCTGGGATCATACCCGAGCCGAAGGCAGACGCTTAACCAACTGAGCCACCCAGGCACCCCTTTAAGATTTTATTTTTTTTTTAAGATTCTATTTATTTATTTGAGAGAGAGAGAGAGAGAATGAGAGATAGAAAGCACGAGAGGGAAAGAGGGTCGGAGGGAGAAGCAGACTCCCTGCTGAGCAGGAAGCCCGATGTGGGACTCGATCCCGGGACTCCAGGATCATGACCTGAGCCGAAGGCAGTCGCTTAACCAACTGAGCCACCCAGGCGCCCCTAAGATTTTATTTTTTAAGTAATCTCTACACCCAACATCGTGGGGCTCAAATTCACAGCCCCGAGGTCAAAAGTCACACACACTCCACCGACTGAGCCAGCCCAGCGCCCCAGCACGATCGGTTTTGTACTGTTCATTTGATGCAGGCAAGATAACATCAAGCAGAAAGCACCTACTGAAGCTAATTTCCTCGGGAGGGGGTCACAGTATGGCGGATGCTCTTGAGTTTCATAGACTCCTCTCTAGATACTTTGTCTGTTTAAACCCTGATGAGTCATTGGCTAGCTAAGTTAGAGCACAGAGTATGAAGAGACAACAAGGCCCTTGAAAGCCATGCCAACAAACTTGGACATGATCTTGTGTATGCAAAAGGGGGAATCAATCACCTGAGGTAATTCTTAAGAGAGACATGCTCATGTTTCTCGAGGTTAATTTGGAATTCTCCAGGAGGTAGAACCTTCTCTAGAGGCAGGGTAGTGAAGGAAGAAAGAGCTGTAGAAGTTGCAAATTGTTCACACGGGAACTGATGGGGATTTGAACAAATGGAATGGAATTGGAGAAACCCAATTGGGCCCTGAGAGAACTGACAATCTGAGAGATGATGAAGACCCATGACTAACGAAGTGTGTGTGTGTGTGTGTGTGTGTGTGTGTGTGTGTGTAAGGAAAATCCTGCCTCAGGATTTCCTCACATGGCCCAGCCTGAGATCTCTGCAACCCAGTTCTTCAGGGGAGTCAACTGCTCTCTCCAACATGGAGCCCCTGACACTCTAGAATCCTTGGGGCTTACTTGTACTTTTGTAGCTTCCTCAGCCTTAGCCCTCAAACAGCAGGGGAAAAAATATTCTTTTGTTCTTTTAAACTGAAAACCAGAATCTGATAAATATGTAAATGAGTTGCTTGCCTACTGAAGCATACAGCTAAACTGCGATCCAAGCAGTGGGGACGTTGAGATCGTTTCCTGAATTCCTTCTGTCCCAGGTGTTAAGACTGAGACACTTGACGTTTCTATAAACTGAAGCGCTAATTTAAGAATTTAAATTTTGAAGACGGTCTACAGGAAAACCTTCACTCTAGAAAGGGCCAATTTGACTATTAATTCTGCGTTAGATGTTCTGTGGTGAACAAACTGGTCCAACCTGTATGGTTAATTACTAGAACTAACAAATTTTTTTCAGTCTAGAAGAATGTACGGCTCTAAATTGTTACCAATGGTTATTTTTGAGATTTAGGAGTGTGTGTGGGCCGGGGGGGGGGTGGATATTAAAAGAGAGTGTTTATCCTTATACTTTACATGCTCCTGTAGTGTTTGAATTTTTAAACATGTATTCTTTTTTGTAATTTCAGAACAACCAAAAGAATTTGATTAGATGTAAATTTTAACGGCTGTACAGAGGATCAAAAGGAGTCAGTCTGAATTATCTGATTTTAACTGAATTTGAAAAAGACTATCTGATATTATCTAAGTACCAGGAGGCAACTTGTCACGTTGCAGCTGCCTACCAGCAGATTATAATGTGTCTGCAAAAGCATCCCACAGGCCATGACCCTGGAAGTGGCCTTGCAAGCTGAGCAGGATTTCCTCACAACACAGGGAGAATCTGAAGGGCCTTCCCACTTTCCCATAAACAAATACAAGTTCCTCCATTCTGTTGTGTTTTTAATTATTTTTATTTTCTAAAATTATGTAAGTTATACATCCTCACTGTAAAAACAAAATTCAGACAATACAGACATATGAAAACCTTATTCTTTCAGAAGTAACCACTGTCTGGAGTTTGGTTGTGTGTCCTTTCAGATTTTACACACACACAATTTCAACTCCTAGTTTTCTTTCTTTTCTTTTTTTAAGTGGGTTCCACACCCAGTGCAGAGCCCAGCATGGGGCTTGAATTCGCAACCTGGAGATCAAGACCTGAGCCAAGACCAGGAGTCGGATGCCTAAGGGACTGAGCCACCGAGGCACCCCTTCCTTTTTTATTTTTTTAAGATAGAATTCACATACCATAAACTTGGCCATTTTAAAGATTTTATTTATTTATTTATTTATTTATTTAAATGTATTTGAGAGAGAGCGAAAGTGAGAGAGATCACAGAGGGAGAGGGAGAAGCAGACTCGCCACTGAGCAGAGAGCCCAATGCGGGGCTCTATTCCAGGACCCTGGGATCATGACCTGAGCCAAAGGCATCCACTCAACTGACTGAGCCACCCAGATGCCCCAGACTTTGCCATTTTAAATAAGTGTACAATTCAGTGGTTTTCAAAGATTTTTTTTAAAATTTAAGTAATTTCTATACCCCAAGTGGGGCTCAAAATCTCAACCCCGAGATCAAGAGTTACATGCTCTTCCGACTGCGCCAGTCGGGTGCCCCCTATTCAGTGGTTTTTAATATATTCATAAAGTTGCACAATCATCACCACAAATTCCAGAACATTTCATCACCCCAAAAAGAAACCCTATACCCATTAGCAGTCACTCCTCATTCCCCACTCCCCCCACCCATCCTGGCAACCATTAATCTATTTTCTGTCTCTAAAGATCTACCTATTCTGGACATTTCACTTAAACGGAATCACACAATATGTGTCCTTTAGTACCTGGCTTCTTTCACTTAGCATGTTTTCAAGGTTCTTCCACATTGTGGCACGGATCCGTGCTTCATTCCTTTTTACGGTTGAATAATATTCCATCCTGTGGATAGACCACATTTTTTTGATCTATTCATCAGTTGATAGACATTTACATTTTTTTCCAGTTTGGGGCTAATATGAATAATGCTGCTGTGAGTATCCATGTATACATTTTTGTATGAACGTACATTCTCCATTCTTTTAGAATTGCTAGGTCGTATGGTAACTCTATGTTTAACTTTTCTTTGAGAAACTGTCAAACTGTTTCGCACAGCAGCAGCACCATTTTACTGGCAACGTACAAGGGCTCCAATTTCTCCACACCCTCATCGATACATGTTATTTTCTTTCTTTCTTATTCTAGCCATCCCCATGAGTGTGAAGTGGTGTCTTATTTTGGTTTTTGATTTGCATTTCCCTAGGGACTAATGATACTGAACATCTTTTCTATGTGAGTGGCTGTTTACATGTCATCCTCAGTGGCGCCTGGACGGCTCAGTCAGTTAAACATCTGACTCCTGGTTTTGGCTCGGGTCATGACCCTGGTGTCCTGGGATCGAGCCCTGTGTCAGGCTGTGCACGCAGCGGAGAGACTACTTGTCCCTCAGCCCCTCCCCCCAAGTTGCACGTGCGCGCAACCTCTCTCTAAAATAAATAAAATCTTACATATCATCTTTGAAGAAATGTTTATTTAAATTCTTTGCCCATTCGAAAAGCTGGGTCAATTTGTCTTTTTACTGTTGAGTTACGAGAGTTCGTTGTATATTCTGGAGGCAAGTCCCATAGCAGATAGAAGATTTGCAAATATTTTCTCCCATTCTGTGGATATTTTTTTTCTGTTTTTTTTTAATAAAAATAAGTTACTAAATATACTATCTGTAATTTGTTCTTTTTCTTCATCTGTATTATGGGCCTCTTTCAATGTCAAGAGAAAACTATGTCATTCTTTTTCCTACGTTATTTTTTTCCTTCCTTTCTCTCTCTCTCTCTCTCTCTTTTTTTTTTTTTTTTTTTGGTGGCATTCCATTATGATTTGACCAGTCTTCTGCTGAGCTTTACAGAGTCTTCAGTTTGTGTGTTGGTGAAAGACAAGGCATCAGCAACTGTTGGACTGGAGAGACAGTCATCTACCTACTGTGTCGTCTGCTCCTGGACGATGTGAAAACGCAAGCGGGCAGAGGAAGTGTCTCTAACCTGCTTATACTTCCTCTCAACCAATGCGGTTTCACAACCCCTACAGGCTCACCCCCACCCAGTGTCACCAGCCTGGCGCCTCTGTGAGAAAGTCCCACTGTAAGAGGCCCTGGGGCATTATCATTTCCTTCTTTCACCCTGTCTGGGTTGCCAGCAAATCCCCAGGGCTCTCTGAGCCTGGAGTGTTGGATTAGGTCCCTCCAGCTGCTGGAAAGATGAACTCCTGCATCATCGTAATGAGGCTCCTGCTGTCTGGGCCTTTTCTCTTTGGTAGGCAAGGGAAAAGGGGACGGGAAGGGAAGGGAAGAGACTGTGTCGGTGGCCAGGGAGACTGCAGGGCTTTGTGGAACTGGAGTAAATGAGCAGCTGCTGGAGGGTGGGATTGGCCATAGGTGACCGTGAGGCTCAGGAATCTCGGAGGGAGAAGAGGGAAAGGAAAGAAAGTCAGAGTCCAAAGTCGAGTCAAGGTCTGGAGGGAAAGACAGAGAAGGGAGACACAGATGGCAACAGAGAAGCGGAGTGGGGTCTTAAAAGGAGGCAGATGGCTAATGGGTACCTGGAGCTGTCGCTGGGGTCTGGTCCTGCCCGTGGTAGGACCGTGTACCACCATCTCAGCCCTTTCCCCTTCCTGCGCGTCAGTCCATTCGTCTGAACAAATGGCGGGGCAGCTTCTCTGCCATCCTAGGATGGGGCGGAAAGAAGCCTGATGCCTGGAAGGAAAGCAGAGCCAGAGAAGACAGTTAGGGACTTGCAGAGGATGCATAGGTTGCTTGAGGTGGGGGTGACATGGGGGCATCCGAGAGCTAACAGAAGGAAGAGACTGGTGCATGGTAGGGCGGGCAGTAGGGGAGCGTTAGATGAGAAGCAGTTTCACAGAGACCAGGGGATCCTGAAACCATGAGTCTGTGGGCAGAAGCCTGAAGCTAATTATCTTGGGTCTCAGGCCCAAGGGAGAAGTGGGTGTGTAGAGAGGCGAACCCTGCCATGGGGCAACCCCATCGCCTGGGGGCCCTTCCATCTGCCTCTTTCTCCCAGACCTCCACCTTCTCATCCTTCCTTCTTTGCTGGGGTAAAGCGGGCTCTGGGTAGTAAGGCTTCGCTGTTTCCAGATTTCCCCGGAGTCAAGGCCCTGAAAGGGGAAGCCCAAGGGGAAATGTTCAGCTCTGCCTCTCGTGCTGGCCACCTGCCGGAGGAGGGAGCCGGGTCTCTGTGGGCCGCCCACTAGGGGGCACGTGGGCGGCGGCCAATCAGCGCTCGCGGCTCTGGGGGCACGTGCGGGGACTGGCCAGCAGAAGTGGCTGACCACACCCCCTGGTCTCCCTCAGCCCCCGCCTCAGGCTACAACTTGGAAGTGCGGCACGTGCAAAACTTCTCCTTCCCACTCGCCGGGAGGCATTTTGGGTACCGAGTCCTGCAGGTTGGAGACGGGTGAGCTGCCGCCCCAGGCCCTCCCTGCCCTGCAGAGCCAGGACGGGCGACCAGGCAACCAGGCCACCAGCCCCGGGTGGGCCAGATCCGGGGAACCGGCAGGGAGTCTCCCGTCTGGAGACGTCGTGGTGGGATTTCTCGGAAATAGGAGCGAGGCCATCAGATAGTAGGACGAGGACAGTCCATGGTTAAATCTCCACACGAGTGCCTGAAAAAAGGGGAAATGTCACAACCCCTAAAGGGCTTTGCAGCACTTCTAGATTCCCCACTGGTGCTCTGACTAGACAGTGAGAGCCTTGATGGCAAGGATTTTCCCCCTCAGCCCTAGTACATGCCCCAGCCTAGCACATAGTAGATATGCCATAAATGACTTTTTAAAAAGGTTTTATTTATTTATTTATTTATTTGAGAGAGACAGTGAGAGCATGGGCAGGGAGGAGGTGCATAGGGAGAGGGAAAAGCAGACACTCCACTGAGCAGGGAGCCCAACACGGGCTCGATCCCAGGACCCCGGGACCATGACCTGAGCTGAAGGCAGACGCTTAACCAACTGAGCCATCCAGGCACCCCCATAAATGACTTTTGAATTGATAACTGATTGAATGAACTCATAATGTGACATTCTGGCACCTCATTCTCTGGACCTCAGTTTTCCTAGACTATAAATGGAAAAGATCCTTAACTTTCTAGAAGTTTGAGGTATTCAATAGGGAAGAGGTAGGGGCTGAGGAGCCTCCCTGAAAGGGACTGGCTGCATTGCTTTGAGATACCTGTGGATCTGAACCCCCCTAATGGGTAGGAGGGGTGGGTAAAGACAGGACAACTCCATCTCACAGGTGAGATTTCTCATCAGGGTTATCGTGGGAGCTCCAGGTGAGGGGAACAGCACGGGAAACCTCTATCAGTGCCAGCCAGACACTGGCCACTGCCTTCCAGTCAGCCTGAGTGGTGAGTAACTGGTGAGGGGCCTGGGAGGAATGGTGTCCCAGGGAAGTTGAGGCTGGCTGTGCCACACCTGGGTTACCTAAGTTCCTCCAGACCAATCTCCTGGTGCCTACAGGTTCCAACTATACCTCCAAGTACTTGGGGATGACCTTGGCGACAGACTCCACAAGTGGAAATCTTTTGGTAAGAATCTTGTGTAGTGTGATATCAGTCGATGCTAAGAAAGACAGATTGAAAAGAAGGAAGGAAAAAGTGAAGTAAAGATCCTATAGGAGATTACAGGCATCAGAGAGATTCTGATTCAATCAGGGTTTGTTTTTTTTTTTTAAAGATTTTATTTATTTTTTTGAGAGAGAGAGACAATGAGAGACAGAGAACACCAGAGGGAAGAGGGTCAGAGGGAGAAGCAGACTCCCCGCTGAGCAGGGAGCCCGATATGGGAC